ATCCTAGTTTTTAAAAATGATTAAAAAATAAAATGAAAAACTAAAACCTACCTACAAATTGTAAAATTATCTTTAATTTAAAATATAAATTGTATAGGTTGTGTAAAAGGAAGGCATAGCAGTATCTGCCATTTTATCGCTGTAATTTTTTTTCCGATCAGAAAGAAAAAAAACATAGGCAATATCAAAGGAATGTAGCATGTGTATTTAATAATAATAAAAAGCTTGCAATAATTCTTAACAATTGTTAACAAAGAGAAAGTTCTTAGGAATTTTATATAATCTTTATGTCCTGATAATATGTCGTGAGAAATATCTTTTTGTTAGTGTCTGGAATACTGTATTTATGCAAGTTCATGGTTTTTGTTTTCTAATACATTAACATTTTATGATAAATTAAATTTCACTGGGAAATACTCCTTTTGTCATGCATGCTTGTGCAAAAATCACAAATTATACATAATTAGCATGTTGGTTCCGTATTCACCTGTATGTGTTCTATACATTGGTAGCACAGTTTGACATATCGTATCTGATTCAGAGACTCATTGGAATAGTCCATTTTGTGACCAGGTAGATTTCTGCATTGGCGGTTTTAATTCCTTTGTAGGTATTAAGTAGAGATCAAAAATGAGGATTTATAGTAAGCAAAATTATAATAAACAAGAAATTCTGGTGATCCGTAAATAGTATTTTTGTATTGTTCAATCATATTATGATTAAGTATTACCCAGAAAAAATTGGCTTTTAAAAGTATCTAACTAATAAATAAATTGTGTAATGATAATTTTAGTGATTATGAGAAAAAGGTAGATCAAATGATGATGGAGATGATCTTTATGATAATGATACATAATCAGTATAAGATTGATTTGATAATGGTTATGTTGATGATTATGTTGGTGATGAATTTGATGTTAATAATGATGAAAAATTTTCATAAAAATGACAAAGTTAATGATGATTATGATGATATTGATAAAAATGAAAATATGAAAATAAATATTTTAAAAGAATACTGGAAATGATGATTATGATGATGATGATGATAATGAAAATGATGATGATGATGATGAAAGTGAAATTTACTGATAAAGTCTTATGGTTAAGAAAGTATGATACAATATACACGCCAGAAGTGGTTATCATCCCAACAAATAAAAAATGAATATAGTAAATTAATTATGTCATTAAAATTGTTGTTTAGAAATACATTATAATTTACTCCATATTATTATAAAAATAATTGCAAGTTTTTAACATCTATAACTTTGTTTCAAGCTGAGTAGTTTTTTATTTTATTCATCATTATATACACATTGTAGAATGTTGACGCATATTATGCTTTGAACTCTCTGAAGAATTCATTTGCTTGGTCATGTGATCATTAAATCAACAATTATCAACTTGTAGAAATCTATATCAAAGAAATTGTGAAAAAGATTGAATTTTTGCGAGTCTGAAGCGTTGCAATGTGCCTTGGTTTAAAAATCGTTATAGATAACTTACTTCATAGCGTATCTAATATGTTAATTTTACAAAAGGCCCAATTTTTTTTTCATGAAAAACCAAAACGATTTCTCTCACAAGCATTGTTGAGTCCTCCCCTGGTTTGCTTAGCTATTGCCTTAGGCAATTGACCTTTTAGGCATTGGGCTGTACCATTTTTACATAGGGTATTTCAAGCTCCCTATAAATGTCTCATTAATGTAATTTATTGACCATTTTTCCAGTTTAAATTCAAATTTAATGTTTGAAATTTAAGTGAAAAAACGACTACAATTTTGCGCAAAGTTTTAGGGAAAATAAAGACATTTAAAAAAAATCTGTTGACTAGCGATGTAAAATAAATATTAAGTAGTGACTGCCATCTATACAAAGAAGATGCGTATTTGAATTAGCATGTAAATAATTTACTCATTTGCATTACAGTAGTTAAATATCCAAGTAGAGTAAATAGAAACATTGGTTGTATACTTATTATCATTACCTAATCATACAACAAATACAGCAACAATAATTTTAGTGGAAATGTTGGTTGTTACTGTAAGTCTAATAGAATTACGTGGTTCACTGATTTTTATAGTATTTTTGCAACTCAATTAAAATGGAACAGAAAAGTCTTCTTTTCCTAACCCAGCCACCCATCATTCAGCTACGTATAAGCATGCTTGCCATTTTATCTCAGTACCTTCTGTTATCTTTATCATCAATAAAGAAAGATTTCTATCTATCTATTTACAGTATTGTATATTTTGTGTTGGGTATTGAGGCTTATTAATTGGCAACAATATGAAAATAGTCGCATGTACATACTCACATATATAACTATAAGACCACCCCTGATTCTGTCGGGCCTGTAAGACAGAATTCATACTTTCCGCTGCTCTTTGTGGTCTTCGTACTGCATCTAGTTGGCTAAAAGCAGAGCCAAGTAGAACTATTCTACAAAATAATTACCATTTTATTGGCTTTTAAAGGTTCATCAAAATCTTATTTTCCAGTGTTTAAAATTGCGTTTATTCATACTAACATTTAATATCTTCATTGTAGTAGTAAATTTGCATTTTAAGGACGATTCGAACATGATTTCAAAAATCTAATATTTGTATGTCGCACGTATAAGACAACCTGTTTTTTTCAATCGTCATTTACTATTTTAGGCCTCGTCGTATACACGAATAGAGTGTATACAGTAAATCTTGCAATTTTATAAAGCTTTTCAGCACCATCAGGCCACCGATTCTATCCTGACTGCTTGAATGTACATGCCATGGGTGAGAAACAAATGTTCTACTGCAAGATTAACAATGTCTTTAGCAAAACTTACATCATCGACAACTGGCTGTATGGCATCTGCTTGTCCACCCCACACATATAAGACGACCCCCCCCCCTCCCTGTTTTTCGATCGTAATTTGCAATATTAAGCCTAGTCTTGTACCCGAGTATATACGGTAATAAATAAAAACATTCTATATTTTAAAAATATGAATTTTTTTATAAAATAATCATGAAAGTAAATATAATAATGGAAAAGTGCATCAATAATACATAAAATAATCGTTAAAAAAAACAACTTTTGGCGTTAATAAATTGGTAGTTAGGTTGCTAGGCTTCAATTTCCAGGGCCCTATATTTATCGCATCTAAACCTTTGCATACACCAAGCTGATGGTCGTCGGCTGAAGTGGTTTCATAGATTACACTATATGGCGAGGTAGGCACAACGGATCATCAGTAATACGTTGTTAATGACTCTCCACTGAAGAGTACATACCGAAAATCAGCAAGTGTCATTGTGTGTCGTCAATCACTCACAGAGCAGAGAAAGAATCATTGGTGTGTGCCTGACTTTATAAAACAATGCTAACTACAAAGTTCCAATCTGTAATTGATTTGTACTTAATGTTGAATGTGGAAGAAATTCTAAAGAAAAATCTTCGTAATTTTGTATTTATCTTCATTAAGCATGGCACCCGCTGCACCCGACGATTGTCAGTGGATGTAATTTAAAGGAGAACGTAATGCCGCGATGCCCGCGCCATGGATCGTTTTAATAACGATCCGTTCAGACTGCTACGACAGTCAGCAGGCGCATCGCCCCATCTAGCGCTCACAGGAAGTGCAATTAGATTAGTCGTACGACCGTTGTTCAGTGCAGTGTGTGCTGTCCTGTCTTTAGACGCATATGAGGTGCAATCCAAGTTCATTCTTTATTGTACAAATACTCGACATTCCTTAATTTTGACCTGTTAATCATATAAATATTGATACATATAGGATAAGTACTGCTTGCTTAGATCTGTAGTATTTATAAGTAGCTTGAAGAGATGATAGGTTTTAAGCTCATCCCTTTGCAACAAGTTTTCGATTTGTGTTATTAGTCAAGGTCGCTAAAGGGTCGACACTATATTTTCCATCAATTTTAAGGGAGTAAAAATACAACTTAAAATTTTGTCTCCTTCTCTCTCAAACTCCACTCTCTAACAAACTATTTATTGTTCATGTGACCACTCCCTTTCTTATCCTGAAAAATTACATATAAAATTATTATTGTTATTTTTAGTCATATTTTAAAAAAAAACAATTTCTCATAATCTCAAAATCTCCAATGAGGGCAGTATAATAGAGGCAGTAGAGTATATTTGCATTAAGGCCGCCCATACAAAAGAGATTTATTAATCAATCAGCCAAGTGTTTCTGGAGTTCCTCATCAGAGCTAATAAGATTGCACCATTGTTAGTCCTCTTTTGTGCATTCTTGCTCAACCTTTTAATTATTTTATTTAAAATGGTTCTATTCATAGTAATATTTTTTATAATTTATCATTTTAATTTTTTTTTTAAATATTGTGCAACTTATTTGCCATGTCATTTCTTTCATTTGGTGAGTTGCATTTTATATTTTTATTTACCTATAATTGTATTATTCATAGTTTATTTCCTGATGATGACATAATTAATGTCGAAATATTGAATCCCGACACGATGGCGTGCATTTCGATACTTGGAGTATGTGTTATACTATCTAGTTTATCATTGTCTTACCAAAGAACTATTATTACATAGCTTTAGTTCATTTGTGTAAGACATAGCCTTGAAGAAAAACATCTACTCTTCTTGTCCAACAAGGATTCCATTATTGCTGTACATTGATATTAGCATTTCTTCTGGCTACGTATTAGTATCAGAAAAATTAAATATGATACAGAACTACAGTAATTTTTTCATTAATTTTGAACAATAGAAAGTTGCCTTAAGTTTCTAACTGCCTTTCGTTAGTCTTATCTGTGAAACACTTGTTTAGAAGATGTTATGTTTTGTATCACCTTGTACTTTGGAACATCTGATTACAAAGTTCAGGGGTTATCTGCGGAAATTTTATCAGATCAACCAATTAAAATGCTTTGCAGCAAGTAACAGTTTTTTTGGATTCAAATCCTTACGATTCCATCCTGATTTCTCTGGGGCGGTTGCAGGATTTGGCGGTAGGGGTGCGTAAGAGTCCACACCAGCTCAACATGGTTGGGGCTAAGGTGAGAAAATGTTGAGAATACAGTATGGGGCTTGTAGGTGCCCGGATATTGCACTCTCATACTTCAAAAATCTTATCGGTACTGTTAATAATGATAAAAATAATATAAAAATACAATACAACAATAATTATTTTCCTTAATACAATTAAGGGGGGTGCGATCGCACCATCTGCACCCCCTCTCCATCCGTCCTAGTTTCTTCTTCTGGATTACGTGGTCCAGTGGTCAGAATGCATGGTGTCAAATTTTAAAATTGTGGTTTAAAGTGCATATGCCTCAAATTATGCGGTCAAGTGGTCCCAAGCTCATAGTTATATTTATGTGTATGCAAGCCATACTTCATGTTCATGGTCCGAATTTCTGTGATTACACAGTAGATTAAAGTTTATGCCATACACAATTTCTGAATGGCATGATCTGGTGGTCTCAAGTGCATGTTCTGAATTACATGGTCTAGTGGTCGCAAGTGCATGTTCTGAATTAAAAATGGCGCAGTGGTCTCAAGTGCATGTTCTGAATTACATGGTCTAGTGGTCTCATGTGTATGTTTTGAGTTACATGGTCTGGTGGTCTTAAATACATTTTTTGAATTACACATGGCCTGGTAGTCTCGGGTACATATTTTGAATTATATGGTCTGGTGGTCTAGAGTACATGGTTCAACTTGCAAAATTGTTCCATTTTATGGTTATTTCATTTCTATAATTATAATGAAATGGTGTTCTACCCTTTAATAACAATTGTAATTAATTATGTAAAATGAGTATAATATGAAATGAACAGCATGTAAAATTTGGAGAAAAAGCATTGTCCAAATCTCAATTTTTGATCTTTGAATTTGGACTGGTGAGAGACTCTATAATGAAAATTTTAATTAGGCAAAATAAATGATGAGTTTATCACCCTTGTGTGTTTGTCTTGTATGGTACCGAAAATTGTTTTTTTTTTTAAATTTGTTTAGTAAATAATAGAAATTTATTGTTTATCTCAATCATATATTTTACTTTAAATATCAATGGACCAGCAAACAACCAAAATTGGTATTTGGCTTTCAGAAAAATAAAAAGCCTTCCTCCCTCATTACTTTTCCAGCCTAATTACAGGTAGGGTGAAATTATCAAATATTTTTTATAGGGCCTAATGTAAGTAATAAATGAATTGTTCATTTATTTTTTTTTTTAATATAAATGTTTATATTCTGTTACTGGTAACTATTCAAAATAGGAGGTATTAATTAAATTTATTAAGTTAATTAGCTATATTATTATTTTCATTGATCGTTTGAGAAGGCAATATTATTTCAATTATCAGCATTTCATATATAGTACCGTAAATGTAAAAATGGAATACAGTGCTTACAGAAGTTGGAAAATAGATGTAAAAAGCTGAATTTGTATTATAATATACAAAAAAATAAAACATTGTTACCATACATAAATGTGTACAACAGTGATAAGGTCACAAAAAGGTAATGCTGATTTGCATACCAGCGACCTCTAAAGAGAAGATTTCAGTGACCTTGAGGTTTTGCCAGCATTCTGCATAGCAGATGAAAAGCTTGGCCTACTGCCAAATGATTATGACTGCTCCTATATTATTATCATAATTTCTGAGTTTAGTTACTGTTTTTAACATTTGAAATTCATTACAGTTACTCTGTTGTTCAGTTTTCATCCTAGTTGTACGTTTCTTGCAGATGTTTTATCTATCTGTGTGATGATTTTTTCCCATTTTTTTTTGTTGTTTAGAAACATGTTTGTATTTATTGAAATCTCCAATTTACATTGTTTGTATTGAATATAGTAAGTAATACAGTTTTCTTTTGCAGCACATTTGTTGCAGTGTTAATAACACTATTTCCAACAAGACAAAGACATGTGACAGTATTGTTGCTCCGTGTGTGTGCGCCACTGTCTGCAAGCAGTGCATACCGAACATGCTCGAATAAGCGCCACTCTTGAATAAGCACGCTCAGCACTTAATCCAGAGTACATATTACGCTATGTTTAACAAAATAGGGTTTTAAATACAGTGTACAAACAGTGTTAAAATGAATAAATAACACAATGAAGACACAAGCGCATTTCTGTATACAGGTAAATGTAAATTTACGATGACGTAGGTATGATAGGCCTACTTAACTACAAGAATACGTAAGATAGGCAAAGAGGATAACAGGCATGGAAAGCGCCACGCCAATATTTTTTTATAAGCGCCGCACTGAAGTCTCCAAAAATGTTATAACGCAGTGGCACATTTACGGTACATCAGTTGAGTTGTCTTGCTTCCTTCGTATGTCTGTTAGTGTTATACTGGTTGGGTTTCGTTGTACTTGTATCTCTAAAATTATTTTAGTTTGTTAAGTTACCCATCCATGCATAACACACTGTCGTTAGATTGTGTGGCCAGTGTGAAATAATTGTTTGGCTAAGTAATAGAAACACCCATGTTTTCTCATCAGGGATTTTTGAAAGCGAGTAGGAAAAGATTTAACATTTTTATTCTCTTTTTTCAAAGATGGTCACTACAAGAACTATTTCCATATAGGTACTAACTTTTAATGCGGGTCTCTCTTTATGTCTTTGTTTAACTATATCATCAACATCATTTTGTCATTTAAAATAATATTTCTGCTGTAGATTGTATTACATGGTCAGATTTTTCCATTCTTTGTTTATTTTGTGAAGAAGAAATAATTTCTTATCTAATTGCAAAAAAAATATAATTTCTTATTTAATTGCAAAGAAGAATTAATTTTTTAATTGGGAGATTTCATGGTGGCTGGTGGGATTGCAAAACAAAATTAAAATTTTTTCTAAAAGTTTAAATTTAAATTTTTATTTCAAATTATTATATTATTGATGGTATAAGGAGTCTTGCCGTACAAGTATGTTTAGTTTTTCAAACTTTTCTCGTATTTGGCCAACATCTTTTTATTTTTAAAATACTTTAACCCGTTAAATTTTGCCCATACTCAGTAATCTTTTTTAGCCGATTTCAGGCTCAAAATGTTCTTATTTAGTTCTTATTTTCACATAATTTTCAAACATACAAATTAGTATATTATTATATTGTATTGTAGAGGGTATTATGTCACACCTACTGCAAATTAAGCTACAGATAATTTGTTGGCTTTTCAAATTAAAAAATCTTTAAAAAAAAAATCATTTGATATTTTACCTTCGCCTCAATTTCTTCTTACTAGTATTTTGTTCTTAATTTTAAAGCTATTTCAGACTTGTGTTCTTATAAGTTGTGTTTTCAAAAAATAAAAATAAATAAAAATTGTATCAAATCTTTTTAAAAAATGGCTGGATGGCAAGAGAAACATTTAAAAAAAAATAATTTGGCCATATTATATATAGAATGTTGGTATCGTGTACCATTTGATGTCATGCATAATTGATTTGATTGTTGAAGCGCTATTCATACTCAAGACTTCATTACGGCAACATAAAAGAGCATTCCATATCTTCACAGTACATGTGATGTACTCCTTTGAAAATCATAATTGCTGTACCATGGCCTTTCACAATAACAGCAAATTGATTGGTTATGTTACCGTATACCAGGTTTGTAACCTGTTTATCTGAAAGTATTTAACTTAGAAAACTTGTGATACATAACTCTTCATATCTTCACTGTACATATGATGTACTCCTTTGAAAATGATAATTGCTGTACCATCGCCTTTCACATTTGTTGACAGCAAATTGATTGGTTATGTTACCGTATACCAGGTTTGTTAACCTGTTTATCTGAAGGTATTTATCTTAGAAACCTGGTGATACATATAATACCTCTCCATATCTTCACAGGACATATGATGCACTCCTATGAAAATCATAATTGCTGCACCATCGCCTTTCACATTTTTTAACAGCAAATTGATTGGTTATGTTACTGTATACCAGGTTTGTTAACCTGTTTATCAGAAGGTATTTAACTTAGAAAACTGGTGATACAACATAATTCTTCATATCTTCACAGTACATATGATGTACTCCTTTGAAAATCATAATTGCTGTACATCGCCTTTCACAATTTTTAACAGCAAATTGATTGGTTATGTTACCGTATACCAGGTTTATTAACCTGTTTATCTGAAGGTATTTAACTTAGAAACCTGGTGATACAACATAATTCTCCATATCTTCACAGCACATGTACTCATTTGAAAATCAAAATTTGCCGTACCATGGCCTTTCACAATAACAGCAAATTGATTGGTGGTGTTACAGGACACGAAAAAAGCGGTGAACCGTGGATTCAAACCTCCGCTTGTTTGGTTTGAAGTCTGTGCCACATGCTACAACAAGTACATGACTTTGATGATGATGTGTTTGTGATGAGGTGAACAGCCAGATAAAAGTGTCTTCGTCTTCTTCCTCCCTGTCCCTGATGACCACTAGAAAAGCAATCTTATAGATGTGTTATTACTGCTCATAATAGGCATCTGTACTTTTCATCACCTTGTTCAACGATAATTGTGGCAAAGGCAAGCCAAACCAGTCTCTCGTCGCAAAAATCAAATTTTAGTTGTTAATACAGGATTAAACAGTAAAATGAGAGCTATAAATGGTAAAAGATGAATTTAAATGCGACATTTTGTTATGAAGTTAGAGACGCTTGCATACAGCAATTTAAAGAATAATATTTGAGAAATCAGCCTTCAAAGTTTGATTTTGGGCATTTCTCAGGCAGAAACTATTACCAAATAGTTAAAAATTGTTGTTATAAACATTGAAAATGAAGACAATAATAGCATAGCATTATATATAGATATATATATATATATAAAGATAAGTTTAATGTAATGAAATAGATTTCAAAAATGTTGACATTCCAGCATGTTTTTGCCATTATCTCTGTGACGAGTGACTGGTTTTCCTTTGTCTTTATCACGATTTCTTCTTTTATTTTGGCGAAATAAACATATTGTCAATGGTTGTTGCTTTATTATGGAACTTAAAATCAAAATAATTCAAATAATTATTCCA